GATCTGGTTTCAAAATGTTCTTGACGAAAAAAAAGAAAGGCTTTTGTTAAAATTAATAAGGCTATTTTTTGAAAAAAAAATCTTTTCTTTTACACTTACTGCCTAGTATCTTTCAATAAATTTTGACAACAAAAAATTACCCCGCCCTCGCAGTTTGAGCCACCAGAGCATTTCTCACCATTTGCACAGCTGAATCCCGGACCAGCTGTAGTTAGCGAACGACAGCGACCTTCCTGTAAGTCACAAGCTCAATTTATCCGGTAACAGATGAAAATGTCGTAAAAAAGAAGACAAAATTACAGTTTTTTTAACAACGCACAAAGTAAAAGCGCACCACACTCTATATTTTCACTGGTTTAACTCGTTAAGGCTTAGTCGTAAATTTTAACAAACCTCCAGATACATCCCCGTAGGACATTGACAAATCTTGTTAACACATACTGATGGGTTTGTACATAGCAGTGAGGCTGAGCAGGGACCACCAATGGGAGACCTTCTTAAGGGCTTACATTCTTCATCATCTTCTACAGTTCCAAATGGACATTCGCAAACTTCATTAACGCACTGTGAATTACCTTTGCAAAGTCCCGAATTATCTGCGCAAGATCCTCCAATTGGTGCTTAACAGAGCAAAATTATAACTGTACAACTATTCTTTATAGGTTTGATTCTAAAAAATTCCCAAGTTTAACAATGCAGTAGTATTCTTCTCAAAATTTGACCTAGAAACTTGAAAAATTATTTCCTAAATTAATATCTTTTATAATGAAAAACCTGCAGGTAGTTTCTGGCATACTTCATTGATAGGTTTCTGAGATGCAGGGCATTGACAGACATTAGCAATGCACCGAGAACCCCCGCCGCATTGAACAGATGGATTACAAGGCGAATTAGGAGGAACTAACAAAGTGCTGATTAATAACGAAAGGGGTAAATCGTATGTGATTTTTCTTAATATTATAAAGTAGAAAAAAAAAGCTTATAATTTCTGAGTTGGAAGAAGCGTTTAAAAAAGGTTAGAATTTTTTTTATTATAATTAAAAAACTGTATTATTTTATCAGTAGTGATTATCTGACACATAACTCTGAAGATGTTATATTGAATAGCATTAATAAATTCTAAAAACCTAATTTTTTTTGTAATAACTATTGTTATAATTGTGCTGTTCAGATTAAAAACAATCAGATAAATCTTACTTATCTAATAGTTGTTAGTGGTTAAATTGTAAAAATACCTATCACTGGCGTAACACATTGTTCGTTGATGATTGAAGTACCAATTGGACAAATACAGGTGCCATTTGAGCAGTAGGATTCTCCGACACATATTTCACCTAGTGCGCATGACTTACTCGGCCCCACTTTTTCTAAAGAAAAAATCTGTCTTGTCAGGTCATTTGATACACGCTTACTTTTCAGAATGAATTTGAATACTTGATTTTTTTTATATCAGTTGATAATGTTTTTTAAGAGTCAATAGGTACACTAAAAATTAACGACAATTGGTGTGAAAAGTAGAAGAGTTTTTTAAGTCATTAGATTAAGCGAATAAGGTTGATATTTTGCCATGTGACATGTTCTTAACCTGTTTAATAAATTAGCGAAAATATCAGCTACTAGTAAAATGATTTTCGTTCGCTAAAACAGCGTGCCACACATAAACTAGGGGTTCAGAAACCGGTGATTTTCATGCTCTCGTTTTTTTTTATTAGATTACTTTGAAATAGTTACAAAATTAAAGAAAAATCAAATGTGCTGTTTGAAATGCAGAGTAAATACTGCAGTTTCATGGCATATAAACAAAATCTCCTTAGATACCGGAAAAAAAGAATACTCATACTGGTTTTTTCCTAAAGTCAAAAAAAGCAAAAAATCTTTATCATTAGCATGTTAAAATAAATATGTTCAATGTCAAGCAAGAAAAAGCTGTTTAGCTGTTAGCATTGATTGCTTTCTGCTAGTGCTGACTGCTTTAGTACAAAACTTACTTCTGTGACACACCCCAAGCTTCGGTTCCATCGAAGGCGGACACGTACATACACCACTAATGCAACTTGAACCACCGAGACATTGTGCATCCAAAGAACAACTTTGCCCTATTGCTACATAATCAAAACATTCACCGTTGTATTCGATTTGGTTTGCGACGCAGCCTAAGAAAAACAGGAATAGTGGTTACGTTAGCTTTTAATATAAATGTAATGTATTCCAAAAAATCACTTATTTTACAGAATAACTTCAAATGGTTAGAAAAAATATAAAAAATTTGTATTGGAAAATATCATATAGATTTTAGAGTGACTCTATTTTATTACCTAGTTTGCATATTCTATCTGCACCAACCATATAACCTGCTGGACAGGCGTTAGCGCAAACTGTCCCGGTGAATAGCTGATTATTTGAGCACTTACATCTACCTCGACTGCAAATTAAGCCAGGATGTTTTCCATGACACTGGGTAGAATATATACATTTTTCTCCCGGTTCAACAGCTAAAACTTTTAAAGTAGTCCATTGTGTAAACAAACCAGATAAATTTTTATGGACAAATAGCGAAGAGAATTACAAGAAGAAGATCAAAATTAATGTTGTTGATTCAAAATCAATAACGAAATATCAAAGTTCAAACCTACTTGGTAAACACTGCCCAGCGATCCCGGAATATACTTCGTCGTCTGAGCACTTTTTTCCACAAGTACCATCTATAGGTACCAAGTCTTCTGGACACATACATTTTTGGTTTAGGCAAAAAGTATTGTCAAATGCTGCTGAGCATTGAGCAGAATGACTGCAGCCAGATGATCCGGGTGATATCACTAAAATTTTTAAGATGTTTAGCAGCCTGTAGTAAAAGTCTGCGAACTGTAGTCGTCACTCAGTAAATAACTTTTAGCTTTACAGGAACGATCAGAGCGTAAACTTGCTTTAACTTTAGACTTTTAAAAACTGCTACTAAAACACTACTTATTTTACCTTCCTTGCAGTCTCCCAGTTCTGGTATCCACGTGTAACCTCTTTTGGTGCAATTACTGTCTAAAAAGACGCATTCTCCTTCACTATTTTTCATGCCATAAACACATTCACATCGAAGTTTAGAACAAAATGCTCCTGGTTCCGCACCGCTACACTGTTGTGAATATTGACAAGGTTCACCAGGTCGTTGTACTATTAAAAAAGAAGCATTTTTTTAAAACAATTTTCAATGAAAATTTTGACAACTAAAAGGCATAACCGAAACCAACTTGTCAGGCAGGCGTCTGCCTCTTGTACGTAAATCTGATTGGTTGGACAAGCAGCGGGTGTACCAGCTTCTAAAAAACAACACTTTTCCTCCAATTTCTTCCGCAGTGTTTATCTGTGTTTGCCAACAACAATTTAAAAAAAAATTTTTTTTTACTGAAAAATTAACACCAGGTTCAATGTAAAAGGGAAAATGTGCATTTTTTTTTTTTTTGGCACATTTAGTGTCTGACAACAAAGTTAGATGTGCTAATTTGAAAGAAGAAAAGGACAACTTTGTGGTGATGGAATACACGTGGTGCCAGCATTTAGTGCACCGTCAGAACATCGGCAAACCCCATCACAGTAAGCTAACGGATATCCGGCACAGTCATGGTCGGCAAAGCATAAACCGTCTGAAGAAAACTGATTGCTGAATAAAGCAAATATACTGCAAATTTTTGTGGAAAAGCTAAAAGAAAAACAGGAATTTGTAAAAAATTAATTAAAGTTACTAATAAAACAAAATTTGAAATATAAATTTTTCGGATTAGCTATAAAAAACATTATCCTGTGATGTTATGTTAAAGTAATTCGCCAAATTTCTGTAATAAACCTTTTTGAAGAACTGCTTTTTTTTTTTAGTTGTCATCCCAAACTTAATTGATTTTATTAAAAATAAATAATAAATAATGTAAGAATACTTTATAAAAATCTTGCAGATTTGAGGTTTTTTCAAGTTTTATTTCAAAACACAACATATCAGAAAAATTTATCAAGGTTATTGCAGAAAAAGGAAAGCGGATAAACAATGACAGCAATTTTCAACTGCTGCTTTATAACAGAATAAATTTTTTCAAAAATTCTTAACATTTGTTAATGCTTTATTGGCAAATAAATAGGTATGCTTTCAGACTGAAAATACGCTCGGTTTATCGGTATGTAATATATGCTGCGATTTATTGCCAAAATTATGGAACTTCAGAAACATGGATGTTACACGGGACTTCAGCAGCAGAATCATTGCGAAACTGAACGCTTCACTTACTGCCGCCGAATTTTCTGGCGAATGCAACGGTATAATAAAGCTTTCGCTTTACGATACAAATATTTGTTCAACGAAATAGTATTTTAAAAGAGCTGAACTGTTTTATAAATTAACCAAAGTAAAATCTGACTGAACCTTTATTGACTGAAAAAGTTTTCTAGAATTCTCAGTATGCATTAAAGAAATCACATCAGGGAGTTAGAAGTGTCAGTGCAAAACCACTATGAAAAAACTGCAAAAAAAAAAA